GTACAATTTTTTCGCAACAAAACTGCTTGTAGCTTTGTCCACAGGAAAGACAAGCAGGTAAGGAAGACAGATTCGAAGTCAGCGTTTCATACTGCATCGAATGGTAAACAGCTTGTTTGGTTTGGCCATTTCGACTTCTGACCATTCCCTTGTTAGCATAGAAAAAAGAGATACCAGAAGTATTATACTTCTAGCATCTAAACGCCTCTAAGTCGTGAGCTAGGACGCGACAATTGTCGAATTGTCAGATTGAATCTATTTATGTCTCAAAAAGAAGAGGCAATGGTTTGGTTTGCTCTTTTCACTGAATAACAGAATTTCAAGCCTTTGAAAATAGTCCAAGCCAGGTCAAAACTCATGTGAAAATTTCCAAATTTATGCTCCGAGCTGACCCCGTTAATTTGATCTAATGCAAGTCAAACTGGAATACGGCATGCCACGACTGGGTGGTCATATTGAGGGTTAGGGAGAGAGGAGGTATCGTTATCAGGTGATACTGATGTTAGCGATAACGATATTCGTCAATAATGTCAGATAGGACCATTATACAAAAAGCTAGCACGTTGATGTTTTCGTACCATCGAATACGTACAGTAACCATAATACAAAAGAAAGCATAAGAGCATCATTTTTGCATTTAGAATGTCAAATAACTCCCGTGGGCCAAGTTTCAGCAAATTCTGAGTTATTCAGATATTCGGCCACCCATGTGAGATAGCCATTTTCGAATACGTTGACTTCGATTCGACTTTGAGTTAACTACTTTTTTGTGCTTAATACCAAGAACTACTACTTCTTTGCTCACATTAGATTTCTCACTTCAAATTACCTATGGAATTAAGAGCAAGCCAGAATCTATATATTCGATTTTTCGCTTTCAATATCTTAGACTAGAAATATTCAACCATGCTCAGTTAATTGCAGAAAATAATGAGGCTTAAGCTATCAATTATATTTGTTCTTGCCGCCTATGTTCGTGATTCAGGTAACATCGCAGACTTAGCATGTCACCGTAACCCAATATTTTCGCAGAATTTTCCATTTGCATAGGTAAGAAAAGACTACACCTTTTTTTGAGAGAAACGGTTTTGATTGAGATTCCTACTGTGTAAAAAAGATGGTTCAACAGTGGCAATGATATAAGGGACACAGACATTTGAATGCTTTAAAGGTAGGTTAATAAGGCGTGGCACAATCCCTAGAAACATGTGGCGGCCACAGCTTCTCTGGAATTGTGCCACACCCCACTAACTTACCTCTAATAGTTTCTGTAGCAGCGATTGCAGCTGATTTTGTCCTTTTGCTCGAGCAATAGTTGCTGGAAACACAATTAATTTCAGCGAAAAATGTGATAAATGAGGTATTGGCTGGCTCTTAATTGCGTAGTATAACGGTTATTCGAAGCAGATCTCATGATATGGGCAAAAAGGGAGTGGTGCTTTGTCTGAGTGCAAAAAGGGGTAGCTACAGGGCTCCTAAATTGCAGAGTCGTTTGCACCAGCGGTCGCGCGACCGCGTCGCGCCCGGGCATTTTGCCGGCGCCGGCGTCATCGATCGAGGCGGCGCCATTGATGCCCGGGTGCAACGCGGTCGCGCGACCGCTTGTGCAAACGACTCTGCAGTTTAGGAGGCCTGTAAATTACTTTTGGAATACAGTTAACCGTGTTTAGAAATGACCAATCGCGTGGTTCGATACTATTGAAATCCCTCAAAATTAGCTAAAACTTGGGCCACAGAAGTTATTTGGCATGATTTGCGGAATATGTTACTAATTATGCTTGGTAGAGCCTTCATGACATGCATAAGCAAGCGGTGAGGGGTCATTTCCGGCGGTTGTGTGCTCCTACACCTCTTGCTTGACCCTGGTCTAAACTATCAAACCGAAAACAGACATTGGGTAGCATAAGTTTCTAGAATTTTTTTGAATAATGTTTTTAAGATAATGTACGAAGTAATGTGTACATTGCAGATTTGGTGTCATAAGATCAATTTGCGTTTTGAGCAAGCCATCTGAGTTTGCCATCACTTTGAAACTAGCGCGCTTGTGAAAGAAAGCACGGTGGAGCGTGTCTACCCTGTAACAACACAAAGGTGCTCTTGTTGGGGTCAGCTAAGTGTACATATGTTTGACATGTTCTACAATATCACTTCACTAGTCTCAGAAAAAAGTCTAGTTTGCCTTCAGTACATCTGTTCTGGTCCTTGCACAATACCGCTCATAATTCGTCAAAAAAAGTCGCCGGAGTGCGCTGCAGTCCACTAGAGTGCAGCGGAGTGCGCCGCACTGCACTGCAGTCCGCCGGAGTGCGGCAAAGGGCGCCACACTCCACTAGAGTCCGCCGGAATCCGTGTCGCATCGCCGTATCTCGCTTCAGAATAGACGAATTCTGAATTCGAGGACACCGTTCGATTCAGATCGGCGACACGCATCATCTGGTTGATAGGAGTCCCACAATCTAGCAGTATATGATAGGTATACGCTACAGTAAGTTTGCGCTCAATTTTGCAGATTTTTGCTTGGTTGAATTGTTCAGCGTGCTGCTAACAGTATAGTCATTGATTTGTCGCTGATGACACATAGAAAGTATACTGCAGGAGTATGGTAGAGGGTCATCTGCTCAAGATTACAATACCGCTTACAAAATATGCACAACTTCTACTTCGCGAAATTTCGGGATTTCCGCCAGAGTCCGCGATATTCCGGGAAGTTTGCGACATTCCAGGATCCGCGGAATCATGGGAATCACGCAGAATACGCAACGCCATACCTTAATATGTTCTAAATCCGGAAACAGCATTGTGTTCAGATTGTCGAGGCAAATCTTTTGATGTACAGCATGCCCTCGATATTCCGTTTTCAGTTTTCTCTATTTTTTTCTGTGGAAGTCCTTTCGCAAGGATGTAATGCAGCGTCTATATAACATAGAAGATTCCAGTGAGCACTATTCGATAGTACTGTTCTTGTAGGCTATCGTGCGCTTAAAAGTAGCTGCAGACTTTCTTTCAGAGAGGTAGAATCATTGGTGAATCTTGGAAAAATCACGCGTTTCTAAATTCTACTCGCCGTAACTTCCTTCGGAATGAATATATTCCGAACCGAGGAAAGCTTTGCGCTCAGTTTATCAAGACAAATTTTCCGATATGCAGCATGTTTTTGATATCTTGATTTCAGTATTCTCAAATTTTTCTGTGGTCGTCTTTTCGCAAAGATGTAAAGCAGCGCCATTGCTCCTAGTAGACTCCAGCAAGGACCGTTCGATATTACTTATTCTGTAGATTATGGAGCGCTAAAAAGTAGTTACAGGCGTTATTCCAATGTGGAAATGTAGAATGTAGAAAGGCTGGTAAATTGTAAAAAATCTTGTTGTTCCAAATTCTACTCGTCGTAACCCTAGAATACAAAGCTATCTTGCAAAGCAGATATGAGTTTTGTACTCGGCAAGTCGGATAACCCCTATGAGCAAGTTTTCAGAGAACTTCGAGTTATTTGATTTTTTCTCGTTTCATGCTCTGAAGCTCGCCAGTGGGTTTTGGTCAAGTTGATGATACTGGTTTGGAAGGAAATTTTGCTCATAGAGGTATTCGAACACGCTGTTTATGAAAATCGTTCTATGTAAAGTATAGGGTCATCTGCAGAGATATGAGGTAACTATAACGGAGTCACGAAAGCTCGTAAATTCGCCTGCACCTCTCGCGTACTGTCAGAAAACCTGCCTGACTGCTTATAAAGGTCAAAGTTATTAGGAAGTGTGCCACCAAATGGTGCATTTCTCAAGCTCCAGTCTATAAAAATCGCCGAGTTACGGGCCTACGAAAACACGTTCTCATGCATTTTGCCCAAAATGTAAAGATCGTCCACAGAAAAATTTGAGAATACTGAAATCAAGATATCAAAAACATGCTGCATATCGGAAAATTTGTCTTGATGAACTGAGCACAAGGCTTTCCTCGGATTTGGAATATATTCATTCCGAAGAAAGTTACGGCGAGTAGAATTTAGAAACGCGTGATTTTTCCAAGATTCACCAACGATTCTACCTCTCTGAAAGAAAGTCTGCAGCTACTTTTAAGCGCACGATAGCCTACAAGAACAGTACTATCGAATAGTGCTCACTGGAATCTTCTATGTTATATAGACGCTGCATTACATCCTTGCGAAAGGACCTCCACAGAAAAAAATCGAGAAAACTGAGAACGGAATATCGAGGGCATGCTGTACATCAAAAGATTTGCCTCGACGATCTGAACACAATGTTGCTTCCGGATTTAGAACATATTAAGGTATGGCGTTGCGTATTCTGCGTGATTCCCATGTTCCGCGGATCCTGGAATGGCGCAAACTTCCCGGAATATCGCGGACTCTGGCGAAAATCCCGAAATTTCGCGAAGTAGAAGTTGTGCATGTTTTGTGCGGTATTGTAATCTTGAGCAGATGACCCTCTACCATACTCCTACAGTATACTTTCTATGTGTCATCAGCGACAGATCAAAGACTATACTGTTAGCAGTACGCTGAACAATTCAACCAAGCAAAAATCTGCAAAATTGAGCGCAAACTTACTGTGTAGTGTACACCTATCATATCCTGCTAGCAGCGGCGTACCCAGGATTTCGGCTCGAGGGGGGGGGGGGCGCCAAAAATTTTTTTCGAATGACGGGGCGTGGCGTAAGCCACGCACTCCAAAAATTTTTTTGGGATTTTCCAAAATTTTTCCGGGCTCCTGATCCCAAAATTTCGGAAAAAGGGGCGTGGCGGCAGCAGCGCCCCCGAGAAAAATTTTTTACAAGGCTGATTTGAATTTTTAAAAATTTTTAAAAATTATTTCAATTATTTACAAGTAAAAACAAGTCCTCTGCAAACTTTTATAACACACTTAAGTAACTTTCAAAAATTTCGCGACCCATTCTCAAGGGGGGGGGGGGATGTGCGCCTCTCGCCTCTTTGCTTTATGTGCCCGTGAAAAGTTGAACATTTCTAAGCATGTAAAAGCTTAACATACCTTCGTACATTGTGCATATCCATCATAAGTATTCTGAGTGCATCGGTCATATCACCATGAGCGCAAATGGTGTCTGGGTCTGAACTTACAGAATTTCTGTATTGATTTTATTGATCTGATGCGAGCAGCAACTTTGCTGTAGAACGGCTATTTTTATTATTAGAGTAATCGATTAATGACACAAAAAAAGCAAGACTTGAACATTTTGAGACGAATGAATGAAGAATGATTGCACTGCATAATTACTGCACGTACCTTCAATAGTTGGCTTGGGGAATATTGCCTCAATGCAAGTTGGAGCAGGTCTTGAAACTGTGCATAAACCGGTTGGATCACAGAAATTAGCACAATCACAGCTACCACTACCAGTCTCGTATATTTTATCTCCCTCCTTTATATCACTGCAACAACTTCAGTAAAGTAATTTTAAAAGAACAAACTGTGTTATTTGCAAAACTATCCTTTTCTCTGTGCACAGCAAATACCGTATAGATTGAATACGCCAACGAATTATCATTGCTGTTGTTATCACAGCGGTGACCATCTTTGTCACTCTGACATTTGAAATTCTATGGCCTAGACAGTCTTGCTTACGCTGCACTACTTGCTAAGTTGGAATTGGCCTTCAAAATCATATTTACTTTTACTATATTACGACTCTACTCGCGGCTTTGATTAAGATTTACAGTATGGAACAAATCATCGAGCTTTTCAGCTTTTTATTGTAGAATTTGATAGAAATTTTCAGCGCACAGGGTCACTGTAAAATAGGTCTTTAGAAAAATCTTGAAAATGATAGGAAGTTTAGCAGAGTTTTCACGCATGCTGATGCACCGCATGACTTTTTGTGTTTGTTTGAAGTTTTCTGATAAAGTTAAAATTTGGTGATGCGTTGGAAAAGCACTGTTAATGCTTATTTTTGATGAGTTGCAAAGGAAGTTTTGGTAAAGCGCAAATACCATATTCATAGTCCAAGACCTGGCCTAGTGTGAAAACTTTTTTTCTCATTTCTGCTTTCAAACAGTGTACACATATTTTTCGACACCATGTCTTCCACTTTCTCAAGCTTGTATCAGCTTTTTGCAAGGTTACGAAATGTGGTCTAATAAATTAACAACGATGCATGTTGTGAGGTCTGAGACAGGGACAAGAAAGCGACATGTGATAGTTTCGACTGTGAATACTACCATTTGATAACAATACAAAGGACGTAGGTATGACTGAACATAGAGAGTAATAAATTCATGGATTTTCCAAGCTTAATCAAAAAATTCAGCCAATTTTGAAAACTGACAAATCCCTAGCAAGAGAGGCAAAAAAGTCCTTCGTTTTTTTTCAAGGACTGCTCAGCACTTTTGAAAACTTACGGTTGGTCGGTGATACATAAGAAATTATTGATCGGTAGTCCAAATTCGTCGACGCAGCTTTTGTAAGAGCAACCGATCTTCGTAGCCGTGGAGCGCATTAGCTATAATAACGTAATTAGGAAAGGCGTGTTAAATCGGTTTACCCGATACATTAGCATAGTCTTTTAAGGGGCTCTCATCCACTAGAGAGCTCGAACCCGAATATGCTACTCCTTCGTCATTGACCAATGTAAAATTTTGCTGATCAATTCTGGAGACCACTTCACGAAGTATGTCCGACATGCCAATTTCTTCATAATCAAAATAATCGCTGAATGAACGAGAGTATAGTAAAAGTAATTAACGCGTAATGTGTCGCGACAAGTACTTGTAGTAGCATGTTATATCTAATTCGCTTCCAGTAAAGGTATTTTATTAGGTTGTCACATAAGTCTTCTGTTTGATTCTTTACTGCCATAAGCCATTTCTTCGTAGATTTCTCGTGGTAGCGGGGGTGCCTTTCGAAAGAGCAAAGCAATCTCTACAGGCTGACGTTCAAAAATACAAAGCAGCTATAAACCACAAAAGACTTGATTCCGAAATGTAAAGAATATTATATGCCCAAAAAATTGAAAAAAATTGAGTTTTTGTCTAGAAAAACCCTACGAAATTCAACTTGTTCAAGTATATACTTACCAAATCGGACATTCTTACGTACAATTGCTGTATTTTTTTAATCCTGGGCTATTTTTAGACAGGCAGATCTGAAGTATAAACCTTTATGAGTGATACTTCAAATTTTCAACCTTCTATGTGTTTTACTTCTCGAGAAATGACGAAATTAAGCAAATGTAAACATAAATGTCTGTTGCAGGGACTATATACCTGAGTAAGTTAAAGGTCCATAGAATATTGCTGGGCGGAGATCCGATTTTTCGGGCATTTGAAAGTTTTTGAACTTTGACTGCAAACTTCATGAGTACCAAATCTTCAATCTTTCAAAGGTCACCTTGCAGAGCTTACGTTGCTCATTAAGCTTCAATTTGAAAAGTTGAGGTAAGCCGATGCCGATATGTCTGACTTATGGGTCAACCCAATAGTTGCAAACCAAAACCGTACACGTATGACTTAAGATTTTTTCCAAAACATACCTAAAAAAAGCATAACCATGACCGGTGTCTGGGGGAGCATACAATAAAGTGCACAGAGCGAGAGCGTCTGAGGCTTTTCTTTCCAAATCGCAACTCCATGCCTGTAAATTTTGAGCTATAGCACGTCTGTTTTGATTAGGTTCAGTGAAAGGTCGGTTTTGCAAAAAAAGAATAGAATTATTAGGTTGGTGCAAAAGTAATGGCCGATTTGCGAATTCTGAATTTGACGTGCTATAACTTTCTAAAAAATCCGCATTTCTGAATGAGGTTGAGACCTTCTGAAGCAGCAAACCTTTCGCAATACAGCGCATACTCATCTATACTCACATCATAAACGGGAAGAGAAATACGGACTAAAAGACAAAAAAGGTTTTTTGCTAGAACCTTGTTTTTGAAAATTCATAACTTCCTTCAAAGTTTGTTAGTATGAATGATGAGTAGCCTATCTTATAGCCGCAAGCCAGTAATAGAAAACACGATAGAAAGAATTCGGACAAAAAAAGTTTGCGAGAAAGAAAAAAATTAAAGTTCAAAATTTCTCACTTTTTCAACATTTTTTCAGTGTGCTTCAGAGTCCCAAATATAGAATTTTCTACTACGTACTGAACACTCGATGTTTTTGCAAATATGCTAATAGAATGTTCTGGCCTTAGGCTTATAGAATTAAGCAACGCTTCGGCGATTGACATCTTCAGAAGAAAATTATCTTATATATAAAGCTGAATGTCTGTATGTATGTATGTATGTATGTATGTCTGTATGTATGTCTGTATGTATGTCTGTACGTATGTTCCGAATAGAAAATTCCATTTCTGAACCGATCCGGACCAAACTTGGCACACATACACTTCGGGCCCCGGCGGGTGTCATAGGCTACTTTTCGTCATCGATCGATATCGATTTTATCGATTTTTATCGATTTTTTTGCTGAGTTCACCTACGGGGCTGGGAGTTGGCACAGGGGGGTAATCGAGCATGGGGATTCCGAATACAATATTGGTTTTCAGGATTATCGATTACTTTTATCGATTTTATCGATTTTTTTGCAAAGTTTGAGCTACGGGGCTGGGAGTTGGCACAGGGGGGTAATCGAGCATGGGGATTCCGAATACAATATTGGTTTTCAGGATTATCGATTACTTTTATCGATTTTATCGATTTTTTTGCAAAGTTTGAGCTACGGGGCTGGGAGTTGGCACAGGGGGGTAATCGAGCATGGGGATTCCGAATACAATATTGGTTTTCAGGATTATCGATTACTTTTATCGATTTTATCGATTTTTTTGCAAAGTTTGAGCTAGGGGGCTGGGAGTTGGCACAGGGGGGTAATCGAGCATGCTGATCACCCCCAAGGGGGGTGATCAGCATGCTCGATTACACCCCCTGCCAAATTACAGCCCCCTAGCTCAAATTTTCAAAAAATCGATAAAATCGATTAAAGTAATGGACGATCTTGAAAACTAATATTGTATTCGTAATCTGCATGCTCGATTACCCCCTGTGCAAACTCCCAGCCCCGCAGGTCAAACTTTACAAAAAAAATCGATAAAATCGATAAAAGTAATGGACGATCCTGAAAACTAATATTGTGTTCGTAATCAGCATGCTCGATTACCCCCTGTGCAAAATCCCAGCCTCGCATGTCAAAATTTACAAAAAATCGATAAAATCAATAAAAGTAATTGATAATTCTGAAAACTAATATTGTATTCGGAATCCCCATGCTCACTTCCCCCCTGTGCCAACTCCTAGCCCTGTAGGTGAACTCTGCAAAAAAATCGATAAAAATCGGCAAAATCGACATCGATCGATAACGAAAAGTGGACTGTGACACCCGCCGGGGCCCGAAGTGTATGTGTGCCAAGTTTGGTCCGGATACGGCGGAGCCGGGTAAGCCAGCTAGTGGATTATAAAATGACCGCAACAGCTACCCATGTTTGGGCGCCGGTATCTCAGTCTGGATAACCTCAAAGAATACAGCTAAGTATGCGTAATGTAGACAATTTCTATTACATACAATAGCTAAATTTTCGAAGAAGTGCCGTTGATACGCGTTTGAATTCTGGCCAGAAAATTGGATGCAATGAAATTCTGAATTTGGATGCGGTTATTTGTAGCTAAGTAACTTTATAACAGATGATGATGGAAGCCCGCTTCAAACACCATTAGATAGAGCAGGAAAGCAGCTTCTCGATGGTACACTGCATCTATTTTAAAGAAAAGGTATTGATGGAAAAAAGTTGCCTTGAAAAAGGCTTGAAAAATCGGCCATTACTTTTGCAGCAACCTAATACTTTTTTAAGGCAAAACTGCTCCTCTTTATCGTAAACGGCAAAATTTTTCCGAAAATTTTTGCAATTACAATGGAATCTTGTTGAAAACAACGCAGAGCTAAATTACTTCCGTTTTTTTGAAAACGTCATCATTTTGAAATATATAACGCAGCACGTTGCTACTATTACATAAACTTCCTTCTCGTAGACTTATCACTGAGCTTCCGAAACTCTGCCCATTTCTCTTCTGAATATATGATGTTGAAAAATATGAATAGGTTAGATTATCAAATAAGGTAAGATAGGGCTCATTTATACTCTACAAATTAGACTTTCGTGGGTTCAATTCTGATTTCTTTTCGCTTTCGCTCAACCTTAGGTTAAACTTAACTTTGACTCCTCATTGCAGTAGTGATGAATTTGCACAAGATCATAACGAAATGCTCATGTTTTTTCGCAACTTTTCATCTGTTGGGGGTGGTCCAAAAATAATGTAGCACTCTCACTTCACTTTTGTGAATTCTTTTCTTGATCAACCATAATTAGGTGACAGTGCGCATGCCCCGTACAAGACCTCTGCCTATTAAAAGGCAGCACCTTGCCTGCTGTTTACTAACGGTTTTCGAGCGGCATTTCGAGAAAATAAGCTAAGTTTTTGGACTCCTTCAGAATCAAAGCGCAGTGTCTCAACATGTGCATCTTACATATCATTAGCCGAGCTAGCAGGTTGTCAAGTGCACACTGTTGACCGTTGATAACTTTCTTTTTGAAGTCTCTGCAGAAACTTTAAGTGCCGTTGTAGGTCCGCCTCAACTCAGACTTACAGCTCTAAATGAAACTGGAGTTCTTTTGTACAACTATGATGGAGATTTTCAGCATGTTTGCAAGTCAGTTACCATGGTGTGGAATAGATCCTGATCTTTGGAAAGAAAACGACTATGATGGACCCGGCATAAATGTCAAACTGACTGCTCTAATGTAAAATGTCCATACTCAAGATCTTGAGTTACTAAAGACAAGCGGGGAATGTGGCATGCCCCTTCGGGGGCGGGGTCACATCTGAAGGGTGAGGGAAGGGGGGGAGAGGGCCGAGAAGTGGGGGTCGTATCGACCCAAAGTCAAATGGAAAGCAGTGCAATAAAATTTTTTTGGAATGTATCACTCTCATAGAATATCTCATAGAACTTCCTAGCTATCTTTGACAAATGAGCATCAAGGTAATTGAGCGAAATACAATGGACTCTTGGATAGGGCACGATGTACCCGATACCAAAATCCAAACACGTCTAGAGACATCAGGTTATATCCTTGTATAATATAAACTGGAAACATCCGGCGAGACGACGAAAACTACACATGGATCACCTACCCCGGCCACCCCCCTTCAGCGTTGCGGAGGGCGAGTTGTTGACAGTGTGAGCGCGCGAGACATCACACCCTCTCGCAGAGGTTACAGACAATGAGATTTTTAGAGGCGCAGTGTACTCCGAACCCCAGACAAGTTAGAGAGGAGAGGGTTGTCTCGGCATGTGACTATTGATCGCACCCTACACTGCATGCGATGACGGCACGTGTTTTGACTTCGCATGCGATGACGAATCGTGACAAAATACCGTATGCTCGGTTTGATCACAGCGTTCACAGCTGTAGCAATCTCTACTGTTTACATACATGTTTCCTCTTCTTTTCATGCCCTTACCTACAATCCAGGTTCATACCAAACATTTCCTTGCTACCTCCTTGCCATTTTGCATAATAGTTTGATATGAAATCTGAGAATTGCAACTCTCCATAGAATCGTCATCAGAACTCAACATTTTGTGAAATGTTGATGAAACTCACAATCCGAAGAGCAACTGAACAGCAAAAATTTGCAGTTTGCAGGCTTTCTTTGTGGCTGGCCAGTTTTTGGATTGAAAAATACTGTTTTCCCCGCAATTTCCATGAAAAACGGTGAAAACCTCAATTTCGACAGAATTTTCGCCACAGAAAATGCCTTTGCTCCCGGAGTGAAGACCTAGAATGGAAATGTGGTCTCGCTGGTTGAGCTCCGGCAGGCTTTCTCTGTGGCTCGCCAGTTTTTGGAGCGAAAAGTTTTCTTTTTCCCCGCAGTTTCCACAAAAGAGGGTAAAAACCTCGATTTCGACAGAATTTCAGCCACAGAAAATGCCTTTGCCCCCGGAAAAAAGACCCAGCATAGAAGCTGTGGTCTCGCTGGTTGAGCTCCGGCAGGCTTTCTTTGTGGCTCGCCAGTTTCTGGAGCGGAAAGTTTTCTTTTCCCCGCAATTTCCACAAAAGAGGGTAAAAACATCGATTTCGACAGAATTTCAGCCACAGAAAACGCCTTTGCTCCCGGAATGAAGGCCCAGCATGGAAGCTGTGGTCTCGCTGGTTGAGCTCCGGAGGGCTCTCTCTGTGGCTGGCCAGTTTCTAGAACGAAAAATTTTGTTTTCCCCACAATTTCCACGAAAAACGGTAAAAAAATCGATTTCGACAGAAATTTGGCCACAGAAAATGCCTTTGCTTCCGGAATGAAGACCCAGCATGGAAGCTGTGGTCTCGCTGGTTGAGCTCCGGAGGGCTCTCTCTGTGGCTGGCCAGTTTTTAGAATGAAAAATTTTGTTTTCCCCCACAATTTCCACGAAAAACGGTAAAAACCTCGATTTCGACAGAAATCTGTCCACAGAAAATGCCTTTGCTCCCGGAATGAAGACCCAGCATGGAAGCTGTGGTCTCGCTGGTTGAGCTCCGGAGGGCTCTCTCTGCGGCTGGCCAGTTTTTAGAACGAAAAAGTTTTGTTTTCCCCACAATTTCCACGAAAAACGGTAAAAAAATCGATTTCGACAGAAATTTGGCCACAGAAAATGCCTTTGCTCCCGGAATGAAGACCCAGCATGGAAGCTGTGGTCTCGCTGGTTGAGCTCCGGAGGGCTCTCTCTGCGGCTGGCCAGTTTTTAGAACGAAAAAGTTTTGTTTTCCCCACAATTTCCACGAAAAACGGTAAAAAAAATCGATTTCGACAGAAATTTGGCCACAGAAAATGCCTTTGCTCCCGGAATGAAGACCCAGCATGGAAGCTGTGGTCTCGCTGGTTGAGCTCCGGAGGGCTCTCTCTGCGGCTGGCCAGTTTTTAGAACGAAAAAGTTTTGTTTTCCCCACAATTTCCACGAAAAACGGTAAAAAAAATCGATTTCGACAGAAATTTGGCCAAAGAAAATGCCTTTGCTCCCGGAATGAAGACCCAGCATGGAAGCTGTGGTCTCGCTGGTTGAGCTCCGGAGGGCTCTCTCTGTGGCTGGCCAGTTCCTAGAACGAAAAATTTTGTTTTCCCCCACAATTTCCACGAAAAACGGTAAAAAAAATCGATTTCGACAGAAATTTGGCCACAGAAAATGCCTTTGCTCCCGGAATGAAGACCCAGCATGGAAGCTGTGGTCTCGCTGGTTGAGCCCCGGAGGGCTCTCTCTGTGGCTGGCCAGTTCCTAGAACGAAAAATTTTGTTTTCCCCCACAATTTCCACGAAAAACGGTAAAAAATCGATTTCGACAGAAATTTGGCCACAGGAAATGCCTTTGCTCCCGGAATGAAGACCCAGCATGGAAGCTGTGGTCTCGCTGGTTGAGCTCCGGAGGGCTCTCTCTGTGGCTGGCCAGTTCCTAGAACGAAAAATTTTGTTTTCCCCCACAATTTCCACGAAAAACGGTAAAAAAATCGATTTCGACAGATATTTGGCCAGAGAAAATGCCTTTGCTCCCGGAATGAAGACCCAGCATGGAAGCTGTGGTCTCGCTGATTGAGCCCCGGAGGGCTCTCTCTATGGCTGGCCAGTTTCTAAAACGAAAAATTTTGTTTTCCCCCACAATTTCCACGAAAAACGGTAAAAAAATCGATTTCGACAGAAATTTGGCCACAGAAAATGCCTTTGCTCCCGGAATGAAGACCCAGCATGGAAGCTGTGGTCTCGCTGGTTGAGCACCGGAGGGCTCTCTCTGTGGCTGGCCAGTTTCTAGAACGAAAAATTTTGTTTTCCCCACAATTTCCACGAAAAACGGTAAAAAAATCGATTTCGACAGAAATTTGGCCACAGAAAATGCCTTTGCTTCCGGAATGAAGACCCAGCATGGAAGCTGTGGTCTCGCTGGTTGAGCTCCGGAGGGCTCTCTCTGTGGCTGGCCAGTTTTTAGAATGAAGAATTTTGTTTTCCCCCACAATTTCCACGAAAAACGGTAAAAACCTCGATTTCGACGAAATCTGTCCACAGAAAATGCCTTTGCTCCCGGAATGAAGACCCAGCATGGGAGCTGTGGTCTTGCTGGTTGAGCTCCGGAGGGCTCTCTCTGCGGCTGGCCAGTTTTTAGAACGAAAAAGTTTTGTTTTCCCCACAATTTCCACGAAAAACGGTAAAAAAATCGATTTCGACAGAAATTTGGCCACAGAAAATGCCTTTGCTCCCGGAATGAAGACCCAGCATGGAAGCTGTGGTCTCGCTGGTTGAGCTCCGGAGGGCTCTCTCTGCGGCTGGCCAGTTTTTAGAACGAAAAAGTTTTGTTTTCCCCACAATTTCCACGAAAAACGGTAAAAAAATCGATTTCGACAGAAATTTGGCCACAGAAAATGCCTTTGCTCCCGGAATGAAGACCCAGCATGGAAGCTGTGGTCTCGCTGGTTGAGCTCCGGAGGGCTCTCTCTGCGGCTGGCCAGTTTTTAGAACGAAAAAGTTTTGTTTTCCCCACAATTTCCACGAAAAACGGTAAAAAAATCGATTTCGACAGAAATTTGGCCACAGGAAATGCCTTTGCTCCCGGAATGAAGACCCAGCATGGAAGCTGTGGTCTCGCTGGTTGAGCTCCGGAGGGCTCTCTCTGTGGCTGGCCAGTTCCTAGAACGAAAAATTTTGTTTTCCCACAATTTCCACGAAAAACGGTAAAAAAATCGATTTCGACAGATATTTGGCCAGAGAAAATGCCTTTGCTCCCGGAATGAAGACCCAGCATGGAAGCTGTGGTCTCGCTGATTGAGCCCCGGAGGGCTCTCTCTATGGCTGGCCAGTTTCTAAAACGAAAAATTTTGTTTTCCCCCACAATTTCCACGAAAAACGGTAAAAAAATCGATTTCGACAGAAATTTGGCCACAGAAAATGCCTTTGCTCCCGGAATGAAGACCCAGCATGGAAGCTGTGGTCTCGCTGGTTGAGCACCGGAGGGCTCTCTCTGCGGCTCGCCAGTTCCTAGAACGAAAAATTTTGTTTTCCCCCACAATTTCCACGAAAAACGGTAAAAAAAATCGATTTCGACAGAAATTTGGCCACAGAAAATGCCTTTGCTCCCGGAATGAAGACCCAGCATGGAAGCTGTGGTCTCGCTGGTTGAGCTCCGGAGGGCTCTCTCTGTGGCTGGCCAGTTCCTAGAACGAAAAATTTTGTTTTCCCCCACAATTTCCACGAAAAACGGTAAAAAAAATCGATTTCGACAGAAATTTGGCCACAGAAAATGCCTTTGCTCCTGGAATGAAGACCCAGCATGGAAGCTGTGGTCTCGCTGGTTGAGCCCCGGAGGGCTCTCTCTGTGGCTGGCCAGTTCCTAGAACGAAAAATTTTGTTTTCCCCCACAATTTCCACGAAAAACGGTAAAAAAATCGATTTCGACAGAAATTTGGCCACAGGAAATGCCTTTGCTCCCGGAATGAAGACCCAGCATGGAAGCTGTGGTCTCGCTGGTTGAGCTCCGGAGGGCTCTCTCTGTGGCTGGCCAGTTCCTAGAACGAAAAATTTTGTTTTCCCCCACAATTTCCACGAAAAACGGTAAAAAAATCGATTTCGACAGATATTTGGCCAGAGAAAATGCCTTTGCTCCCGGAATGAAGACCCAGCATGGAAGCTGTGGTCTAGCTGATTGAGCCC